AAGGCCTGCCTTGATAGCCCATTTGTTGAGCTTTGGCATTCAGACCTCGGAAGGTTTGATAGGCCCCACAGGTATAAGATGTATAGGCTGATGCTATGGGCAATCTAAATCGGCAGCAAAACATATCATAACATATCGCCTCAAGGTGAAAATGTAAAGAACATACCAATTCACCATTTTTCCATGTCGCCTGTAGGGTCTTCCCCCTGACACCCTCACGTACTTACAGCAGCTCAAAAGCATGAGGTTCACCCCATACCTGCTGTGTATTGCAAAATCTCATGTGCGTAATCGCACATAGGCCCAACCAAGGAACACTGATCAACTCCGCTGCGGCGCTCAGATGGTGCAGAATCTAAAGATCTTTGAAGCAACAGCCGCTTGTCTTGTAAGTTAAAGAGTTGGACTTCTAGACCAGCAAGATAATCTCTTAAAATCCAACAGACTTGTTCATTCCGATTTAAAGTCTAAGCGCCTTCTAAAGCACGCTGACCATTGAACTTGATTTTGGCCATTTCCAAGTTGAAACGGCGGTTATCATCACTCTCGGTGTAGATATCGAAGAGGTCTTGCTGATCGATCCACACAGCCTTGAGCAAGGCCAGGGTTTAGGCAAGCACATTCAACAAAACATGTTCGTGCGATTCGTACACGAAAAATGCAAAACAACTGTATACAGGCAAGCAGCGAAAAGCACAGCTGATGCATGCATCGCCAACATCCGCTTGTTCCAAGAAACGGACTTCGTCACGTTGGAGTCCGACACAGAGAAGTAGGCAACCTGTGGGGCACCTGGCTGTGCCAACCACTTGACACCTGAACTGGCTCGGGTCCAGTAAGGCACAGTCTTGGAGTTCTTGAGGTCGGCCTCTTTCTCCATGGCCATGCAAAACTCCTTGAATGAATCGAGGTCCAAGTTCTCAACCTTGTTGAAATTGCTGCGAATGATGTCCCGCATCAAATCATCTTGCAAGTCCTCGTTGGCCACATCGATTTGGACAGCTTTTCGTCGAGGTTTCCTCGCTGCCTTTGCTTTGGCCTTTGGGGCCGCTTCTGCTGCAGGTGGATCCACCTCAGGCTCAGCATCCTTCGACTTGCGTGCCCTGGGCTTCCTTTTCGCCTTCGGTGCTTCAGCTTCTGAGGGACGATGTCCATCAGCACTGGCAGCATTGACGTTGGAAGCTGGAGCTGTGGCCTCATCGTCAGTCGCAAAGAGCCTCCTCTTGGGAGTTGGGCAATCTGACATCTTGACATCTGCCACCTCCATGTTGATTTCCTGAGCTGCCTTTTCTATCGCCAGCTCGATCTCAATGTCTGAATCCTCTTCAGACACTGCAGGCTTTGGAGATGCCTCCCTGACCCGCTTACGGGATTCCGACATCCTCTCCCGGAAGGAAGGCGGAGTAGGTGTTCTGATCATCTTGCGCAAACGGCCGCCCTTCGACTTGGCCTTTGGCTTTGGCTCAGCGACCGTCAAACTCTCCATAGCTTTCCTCTCAGCTATGTCCTCCATGGCGCTGGCCTTGGTCTTTGCTTTGGCTTTAGCCTTGCCCTTTGCCTTGGCCGTAGCTCGTTTCTTTGGCTCCGCCTCTGACTTTTCACCCTTGGCTTTCCTCTCTTCTTCCAGTGTGTTCTTGAGATCCAGCTGAAGTTTGCGAGTAAGGAGTGCCTCGTAGCGGTTGGAGCAGCGACTCGAGCAGAGCTGAAACAAAGCAAACAACATATTTTGTGCAACAGTAAATTTAAAACTGCGCGCATATACTCTACAAGACTGCTATGTTCACTTCTCAGATACAGCTAGCACCAACAGAAGCCACTTAGGTGGCGGCTTTCAGCTAATTTGTCCAATGTGGTTATAGCAAATAAGGGGACAGTTGATAATATAACATAAAACACCCATCCATGATTGATTAACAGGCCTTAGGATCGACTGCCTTAACCTCCGGCAGTGCACTTGGGTCTTGTGAATCCTCAAGGTCCATAAACACCTCGCCCGCTTTGAGAGGAGGGTATACATGACCAGGAAGAAGCTGCGTCTCAGCCCAATCATTGCCATAGCCTGACAGATTGGGTACTTACATTATACGGCCACCCTGGTACCTACATGTGAAATATATACTTTTGCAACAAGTACTTTTTAAACTGTCCCGTGCGTTTCGGCACCCTTGTCCTGTCAATGGATTTGCCTTCTCTTTCTCTGACTCGGCCGCTTCCGCTGCTTTGATGTTGGACCTGTGCCACTGCAGGTGACCGGACTCGGAGAAAACGTGGTTTGAGACAGGTGTGGACATGTGGACTATTGTGGACTGTTTTTTACCATCTAAAAGTCTAAGAGGATGAATGAAAACCAGATTCCATTGAAACCACAAGACGATCGGTACTAGTTGGGACGAGGGGCATGACCTCAGCCTTCTTGGCGGCAATGCGTTCTTTCAGAGCTTGGATGGCCGCGCACTGACCTCAACAGGCCATCAGTCCATAGTGGGCAAGGACTCCCGACCAACTGGATCTAGGTGGGTTATATTAAGTCAGGTGCACCAAAAAACTGTTATGATCCATTCAAGCTGCATGAGCTTGACCTTTTGCAAACAGGGCATAGTTTGGGGTTCTCTCCAGAGCATGGTTCTGATGTTGCCCCTGAAGATCTCAAAGGTTCTGGCGGGCTGGTCTTTGCGGCCTGGTCAGATGACCTGTTCTCAGCCACCAGTGCAGGTCTAGCTGGAGGTTCAGAGGTATCCGCACCATCCAAGGAATTGAGCCACTCCCTGAACTGATCTTTTGCTTCAGCGGGTTCATTCTCCATGAAGGCATCGGCATCGTCAGCGTCGATCAAGGAGCCTGAAGAACCTTGTGATCTGGGTGGAGCTCGGGTCGCCATGTACTCCTTGACGTATTCCTAAACGCGATTTGACGAGGATCCCGTTCAGTCACGGTTCTTTCTTCATGATCGAAAAATCAATTGCACCAGTCGTGTTGGTGGTAAAAACACGCGGATCAGATAGTGGCAACAATTGATAGTTTGCATCAACCCACGGGTCCTTCAAACTGGGATCGAGCATGATGAGAAGTTCGTGGAATGCCGTATCCTGCACAGGGCGGACTTTAGGGGACTTCGTAAAGTTGTTTAAAGTATATACTAATTCCTTCCTGGTGTGCCTTTAAATTTCTACTATATGACTCCCGTTGGCCCAGGTCCTTGGTAACCTCACGGTGTGTTGTGCGCCGCTTGATGAAGCCCAAGAGTTGTTTGATCTCCACGCTATGCTGGTAGATGGACTTTTCCGTAGTCTGTTTCCCCAACGATACGTGGAGCTGAGAAACCTCTTTCTGCAGATCTGAGATATGCGGAAGGTGCATGTTAGGTGTTTCTCGAAGCCTGACCAACGCAGGTGCCAACACAGCGATGTTGTTTTTGGCGTTCTCCCGGGTAGGCTTACACCATTTCTCACCAATGCCCCTTTGAAGGAAATCAACCTCCAAGACTTTACGGCGGACGATAGAATCAGCCTCCCACTCCGATGCCAATCCGGAGCAGTCCATGGGGGTTATTCCAGCCATTGCTGCAATATCCCAACCCCAAACAATGTGGAGCACGAAAAGTGGCTGCATTTAAAAAAATGCTCATGAGCGCAGGATGGATGAATCTACGTGGATGGTGGACTGCTGCAACTGACTGCAAGCAAAAAAATGAGTGCCCGGCAGAGCAGGTCCATCACCAGTGCTTGCAGCATGATCCCGATACCGGCGGGACAGCTAGCTTGGTTGCACAAGACAGTTCTGTTTGAACTCCCGGTGGTGATACAGCACATATGATTAGTATCACGACTGATATCCATTCTCACGCATGACATGGTCTTTTGATTGGACTCTTGTTCACCGCTACCGTACGTGCTTCTTTGAGCAATCTGAGCGGTACCTTGGTGTTCTGCCACTCAAGTACTGACCAAATCGGTTTACCAGGTATTTTTGGGTTTACCTGGTATTGTTCTCAGATCTTTGAATAACCAGGTATTAAAATCTCTACCTAAAAAAATGTAGGTAAACGATTCCACAGGTAGGGAAAAGATGGGAAAAGAAACATCACCTTGGGCAAAACCAGGATAGTCAGTATAGCGTTAGGCTCCAAACAGCTGCTTTGCTAGCTACAAACAGCTACGAATTTGGGTTTGAAACCTTTATTCCACGGTGCCAATCATGATGGGGATCTAACCTTGCTGTTCCTTCTCTTCGCAGCGCAGGATTCCAGTTCACCCTTCGGACTGGAGCGGACTGGGAGCGTCGTCCGAGCCATCGTGGGATGAGTGCTGGTGAGGAAGGAATGAGAGGATTATGCTTGACTGCATCCCCCTTGGAGGATGATCAACTCGCCTTTACAGCAAGTTTGAAGGTGTATGATGAGTATGGATCCGGAATGCAAGACTGCATCCACCTTTTGCCTGGTGAGATGAAGCAACAGGTCCCATGCCTGGCAGACCTCAGAAACTGAACTCGATGTTCGGCTGTTTGGGATTGTACCAATGAGGCAAAACCGAGTTGACTCGGATCCCCAAACACTCCATGTATGGAAGATGTGCTTACTTATATTGACCCTTGAAAACCACCCCAATGTAGGTGACTGGGCTATGCATGGATGGTCTGGGTATCAAATGGGAGATCCGGGATTCTGCTTAAAGGAGTCACGGAAAACCATGTCCGCAGCCCAACGGTCTCATCAGGATTCAACGGAATCCACGTGCAAAATGCAGGAGCCGGACAGCAAACTCACCAATTCTTTTGTCGTGCCAACGAAGGAACAGAGTGGCCTGGCTAACCAACAAGGCCTCCGGTCAAGCAGTGGTCAAGGCATAGGAAACTCATCTTTCCCTATGGATCCACATACCTTCTGAGGTACGGTGAGGACGGAGACTATTTATGTAGGCGCCAGGAGGGTCCAATTACCTTCTGAGAAGGTATGTGGATCCCTAGGGTTTGACACTCAACCCCATCCCACTCCCGTCCGCCTGAAACGCATCAAAACAACTCCTCCGTCCGGCCGTTCCGGCCGCGGAAAGGCCAGGCACGGCTGCGGCCGCCGGATCCACCGGAGCCTTGTCTTCGGTCAACCGCTGCGGTGCTGGAGCGTTGGTGGAATTCTTCGGCCGGTTGTGGTAGTAACCTGCAAGAGGAGGCGTCACGACCGGAAAGGAGCAAGGCATCGCGACACGAACGGAGCGATCGGACGCTACGAACGGAGCTCCTGGCATTACTGCTAGGAACAAGAAGCTAGTAGCTAGAAGCTACTGCGTCGACACCTTCCGCCCGGGCACCCTAAACCCTCGATAGGATCTGAGATCGCCATTCATGCGTCCCGAATGGAATTGAGGTTGAACAAGGGCTGTAGCGACGCTGGACCGTGGAGTTCGCGACGTGGGTTTCCAGTAGTCGTTTGTGAGGTCTTGACTCATGAGTTTTCTTAGGCTTCTACCTATTTCCACCTCCGCAGGTTTTGCACGCATGTTTCGACCCTTTTTTCTTGGCCGCGGTCGGTTCTCGTCTTTCTTCGGCCGCTTCTCGCTCGCTGGCGACCCTCGGGCGACCCTCGGGGCCACGGTGGCGACGGACGTTTGGTGCGGCACGAGCTGACCGGGCATCGAACACCGGTGGCGACCATCCTCCGAACCGGGTGGCGTGAAACGTGTTCGCACCCCAACACCTTGGTCCGGTTCAGGTTTGAAAAAGGGCGGTTCATTCGGCGCTGGTTTGTCGGCGCTGAAGCTTAAGGCGCTGGTTTCGGCCACTTCGCTTTGAAGCTTCTGGGCAGCCATAAAAGCTTGCGCTATTAGTGGCCATCACTAGTAAGAGGTGGTCACTAATAGGTGGCCTAGTTACCCATCTAGTTACCCAAGTGGCATTCTGGTAATTAACTAGAAGCTATGGCCATGGCTCTTAGGTTGGAGGCCATCGCTACGGATGGAATAAGAAGCTACGTCCAGACGCTAGAAGCTATACTCGGTTTGTTTGTGTCTCCGGTCTCCAATGCGCCTTTGGAGGCGACTTCCCGCAAGATGGCCAAATCCTCCTCGTCCAAGTCGTCTTCATCTAACCGCACCACGCTCATGCATCACCGACGCTGGGCGACTCTGCTGTGGGGTAGTGCAGGCGGTGCCATAAGTCTTGCAGCCAAGACTGGTAGATATGGATGGGCTCAAAACATGGGGTGAGTCGAGCTTGGTTCCAAACGGCAAACCCAAATGAATAATATAATAGAGACTAAATCTGCAAACACTGATGAACACCCTTCGTCCTACAGTAGTCTCTAGTTACTTCGAAAAGCCGGCGGCTTTTGACCGGCAGCATCATACTGCGCATCATCCACCTTGCGCCCTTAAAAACTCGTGAGGAATATGACGTTTCACTTCAGATCCCCGATTCGCTCATCACCCCAGAAACTCACTCAGCACCCGTTCGCTTGGTGGGGTGAAACAGGTTTTCAATGAACGAACTCCATCTGTGCAACATCTATTTCGTGGGGACACGGTGTGCCCGGTGTCTCCCATAAGTTCGGTGCAGGTGATCCACTTCCTACGAAACCTGGGATTCGGAAGGCCTTTGACTCAGCATGCTTCATGTATTTTCAGATTGATACGGCTTCACCCTTCGAACCAACACTGGTGAGCCAAAGCAGCTGAGAGCGCCGATCATGATGAACAAATGCAAATCATTTTTTTTGGGGGAGGAGGATGGTAGGCACATAAAATGACGAAACTGATATCATACTAAACAGAAGACAAACACACAATTCTATTGAAATCTAGGGATCCAATCACCCTCTCAAAAGGTAAGCCGATCCATAGGGTGACCAATCCTTTAAATCAGCCTCCTCTTTCTTCAACAAAACGTAACCTTTGCTTCGCTGGGAATGCTTTCGGAGGGCTCGCTCATCTGGTCAAAGCCCCGGTTGTTTGATCTCTTGTTGACCCTCCTAGGCGGACTCGGGTGCGGCCCGGAATAGTCATGGAATTTGGACAATGGCCACCCTTGGATGACTATTTTCCTCTATACAAACTGGTGGTTTTTACTCCACGAAAACCAGGATGATTTCAGAGAGTGTAGCTTCAGGCACTGTAGTCTGGCTCCCGACTTTACAGTGATTGTTTGTTTTTTTATTCTTTTTATATAAACCTGGATCAGCAATATGCAGTTTCGCTTCTCTGTCGCACCACACTGTCACCACCACCAGGGGCGGCACGAAGAGTGGTGCCAGCTCAGGCGCTTCGGTCAAAGCCTGAGCCTAAGGCGGGTCCCACAGGGAGGTCCCCATCACAAATGGTCATCAATATGTTCAATGATGGCCAATGTAATTGGGTCTATCCATTTTTTCCAGGGCCAAGTGGCTGATGGGGCCTGGTTGCCGGCGTTTCTCTAAAATAACTTAATGATGTTCTTGTTTACCGACTGTTGCAGGGAATAGGACAGACCCAAACCATGCATCAATCAATACATACACGTAACATGTATGTCGTACTTAAAGACGATCCACCACTTCCCCTGGTTTCAACCACTCATGTTGGAGAACAAATTCGACAGGGGTGCCCACCAGGCAGGAAAAGGAACGGTATTAGTATTGATAAAACATTCGGCCTCAGGATGGTGGTGCAACATTTAATCGAACGAACCTGTTGGAACTTCCAAACATCATCCACACGAACAACTTGAACTTCGGCAAGATCCAGCCAAAACTACTGCAAAAACTATCCCAGTGGATCCGAGTTACCACTGTATCAAGGAACCAAGGTTTCGTTGGGTCTATGGTTTTAGTCTTTGGAGTCGTTCAACCCCAAAAGATGGGTGCAAACATCAAACCACCGCTTTCCAGGATTCTGGGCACATCTGGACACAAGTCATGGGCCTTGTCGTTTTGCTGGTTTCCGCAGGCACGTGTTTCTTGAACCAAAAGTTTTGGCGTTCTCCCAACTTGTCTCCATTTCTTTCCAACTGTTTCTTCCAACCAGTTGCTCTCTCCAATTGGCCCCCAGCTGCGCCTGCGCCTCGAACCCTCGCACCGCGTTCTCACAGCACAGCGGTCAAACCACCTTCGACCGCGCCGGGCGGCTAAGATCCGCCCATTCAGCCGGCCGGCCGCAGCGTGCAGAAAGGTCTGGCCTGGCAGAAGGTTGGCCCGGCTGCCATCATTTTTGTTTAGGCAAGGAAAGACCAAGAGTGCGTCAATGCTCTCAAATGACATCTGAGGCGTCATCCGGTTAAAACACTTGAGCCTAATGACATCTGAGGTGTCATCAGGTTAAAATGTTTTAACCTGATGACCTTGCCTTTGAGGTGTCATCAGACTAAAGAAAAGAGACTGATAACCATGAGGTTAAAATGTTTCCCCAAGAAGGGGCCCAGTCAGACGCGGCGGCTGTAAGCGAGGGAAAGGTCCTAAGGTCATAAACGAAAGACCGACAACGGCCAACATAAATTAATACACATCATATACTTGTTCCATTCTCTATAGCATATAGATGTTAATTTTATGAGCTAATGGTGTGCAAATATATGCGAATGAACAATATGTAAAATATATTTGAGAAGAGGGATACACGAAAGGTAGGACAGCGGGAGGAAAATAAACATGTAAAAACTGCAGTGTGTTCTTGGTGGAGTCGAATCAAACGTCAACTTGAGAATGTGGGAAAAGACCAAAGTTCGATACATACATATATATATAGTTACATGATAATCCTCAACGACAAGATGCACTAAAAACAACATGTCATGTCTCCTCATGGATTCAAACACTGCCCCAAGCTTAGTGCGCTCAATACCAAATAACCATCGAGGTGTCGAGGTGATCCACTTCAGGATGAAGCGGTCAGGGGGGAGGGGGGGTGGTCTGTATTGAAAAATCAATTCCAAGGGGGGTGAGGGGTAAGATCCCCAAAGTGGCAGTGAAGTACACTGGACCTGATCGATAACACCAAGTAAGACCCAATAGACTCAATAGCGGAGTCTCAAAGTGTGCGAACGGCAGAGAGCACACTTTTCTATGGCGAGCGGTGCAAGTGCGGGCTCTAGTGGTCTTGAGCCAATGTGAATTATGCTGTCAAGCTGACTGAAGAGTATATACAGGATATCTACGAACAACAGGTGCTACACAAGTATAGCGTGGGCACGTCTAGGGGTCGGAGCTTACGGCTGCAAAAGTACAAAAGGGATGCAAGTGAATTACAAAAGTTCTTGCTTCGCTGAACCGGACCGTAGATGCCATTCTGGCTCTGAACTTAAGATATGACGTCAGACAGTCTAATTCTGAAAATTAAAAGCGGAGTCTTCTGAATGTATTCAGGTCTAATCAAATGCAACTCGTTATGCTGAGAGATCTCCGGAATGTCGGAGTCTTCTTGAATCCAGGAACTGCCGGAATGTCAACAACTTGGACATCATGCTCACCAAGGAGCTTGCAACCATCTATACTGGTGCGACCCACAATAGCCAGTATCCCGGTTATAGGCTCACGCCATGCATGAGGAGGAGGCAGATCGAGGGCTGCCACCAGTCTTGCCTTCGCCACTGGGAACGTTCTTTGTCCTTCTGTTGTCGGTATTGCGTAGAAGTATCACTTCGGACTCGAACCTTGGATCTTGCAGCGCCCACACTCCTTTTGCGAGTCCTGTGGCAAAGCCCACACGGTCATGAATTGGCTGCTCAAACTGGCGCCAATTCTTTGTTGCCTATTATTCTGTCATGTCCTTACTTTTGATTCCCTCTTCAAGGGCACCGTAGCTGGACAAAAGCTGCAACATGGAAAGCTGACAAGTGACCACGCAAGGCTGAAAAAACGCAAGCGTGCAACCTTGCAAATGCCACCCGATTCAAATTATTGCCAGTTCTAACTGCTTTGCCCGGATGATGTTGGGGCTTCCACGGCATCGGCATAGCTCGGGCTGTCCACGGCATCGGACTGGTGGGCCACAGTTGCATCATCATCCAGCACTGGTCGAAGGATTTGCCCAAAGCCACTCCTGAAGAAGACATTAGCGGGAAATGTTCAATATATCACAATGACACCAAATGTTTCTTGGGCCAAAAATGTTCTGATGGAGTCATGTGGGTTCTTGATCAAACCAACCTCAAGCTCCATCTGAATATATATTGAAAATGATTGAAACTATATGAGGCTGTAATCTCTCAGAATCCAATCTTCTAGAAAATGCAAAACTCTCGTCTACAAACCAGGGAGCACCGTATTATATTGAATCCACACATGCCACAGTGCGTCTTGTCCGGCTAATGCTGCAAGCTGCTCTGTGGCAAGCGTGGAGACCTCGAAATTGTAAGTGATACGGTGGTGAGGTTCACGCAGCTTATTAGCGGAAACTTTGATCTGATCTAAAATGTTAAGGACGGAGCCTGTGTCTGGATCGGAATGTCGATCCGACTTTAATTGCCTGTTAGTGAAGAGGTTCGCGTCGCATACTATGATGTCCACTTGGTCCGCAACTGCCGCCACCAGGACCTTGGTGAGTGCGCTTTTCCCTGCTGTGATGCAGTCTTCAAAGGAAGAGGAATTCAACTGGAATGTGCAAATCCTTGGCTCTGGGAGATGGCATCGGTTGCAATCTGACAACCTACCAGTCCGGAATGTCAGACTTTCATGGTACAGGCATTTGGCATCGATAGGAGCGGTCTGCACAAATCTGGTTGCGCCTTGGGCAGTGCGCATTGTGTCTGGACAAACGATGACTTCCATTTGCTCGGCAGGATCTTCACCAGTCTCAAGTGCGCGAGAAAGGCTGGCGCGGACACCTTTGCTGCGCCCCCATGTGTATCCTCAGCGACTTCACCCCAAATGATTCTAAAAGTTGCCGCGTGCGCAAGCCAATTGAGGTGTTCTGAATCAAGTTGGATGCAGCGCAAAAGCTCGATCCTGCACGTAATGTCGTCCGGCGAGCATACACATGCGATCAGGCGCGCGTGCCCGTCAGGCATGGCAACAAGGCACATCTTATTATACTGGGAGGAAAGTTCGTGCCTCTCCAGGCCTCCTGCTTCAAGAGAATCGTGCAGTGGGCAGTATTGCGAACCATAGAATGTGGTAGGCCACAATATGGGTCGCCA